GGCAACCACGCTGGCGATGCTAGCGGGCTATATGCTAATAGCGGACTCGGAAGTCAAAAATAGAACTAGTGCTAACAAAGCGCTCTGATTGTTTTTGTTGTAGAATACGATAGGGGATATATTCACACGTTATAAAACTGAAAAAGGATGGTGTATAAAATTGATTTTTGATCCTAGGTGTATATGACTTTCCTCTTTCAGACGAATCCAATCGGAGTTATATTAAAAATTGTCCTGGCCCCTCCAAGCTTTACAATGGGGATAAGCGGGTGCTTTTTGTCAACAGTCCAGAATACATGAAATAAAGCGTGCGCATCCGTAATAAAACGTGCCTCGCACAGCTCCAGGGGGTGAATAAAGGCCTCCTGTAGCGAATCCATGCATTTTTGTAAGAAAAATATCCATATTTCAAATATAATAAACACTTTTTTGCAAAGGCACACCTGAACCAAATCATACAATCAACGAGAAACAGAAACTGGGTCACGGACAGCACATGGAAACGAAAACATACTTACCTCAGACTTGTCAGCAGCTTAATGTCCTTATATACAGTTTTATATCCTTTATATCTTTAAGCATACAATGCTTTAATAGTACAATAATATAAGTGCAATAAATTAAACTGTGCAATACTCAGATCTATATTTTCTATAGTTTCATAAATGGAGCATATGTACAAGTAATCTTAATTTTTAACATTTCACATCTAGCCTAGAATATAGAATAGTGATCCATGGGGGAATCTGTGGCTTCAGCAGACTGGTTGTATTTTTGCAAGCTTCTGACAAGAGGGCTGGCACAGTGTTTAACCAGTTTGTACAAGCCACAGTTAGGTATGGGGTCCCATCTCGATTTAGGTGTGACCACGGAGGAGAAAACAATACCGTTTGTTTGTTTGCTTATGAACATTTATCGTGGATCTATAAGTGGAAGTGCCATCCGTAGTAGAAGTGTCCACAACCAGAGGGTCAAGAGACTTTGGGGAGATCTTTGGCGGGGTATGACTGATGTGTACCACCAGTTTTTCTTCTTTCTTGAGAGTGATCTGCACACTGCGTTATGTGTACCTTCCACGGATTAACCGGGACTTTGAGGTTTTCAGGGAACAGTGGAACAATCATGGATTGCGCACTGCTGGTCACCACAGACCAAATCAGATGGTTGTTAAAGGATGTCTTTAGAGGCAAACATCATCACTCACTCCATGGCAGAGATTTTTGGACCCAGCCCT